GTAGCCTTGGTCTTACTGTGTCCGTGCCGTGTTAATGCCTTGTTTCGGGTATATGTGATTGAATGGAGAGTAAATTCTTCGATGCACATATTTATTTATTTATTTATTTTTTACATGTACACCTTGAAATTTTTATTATTGACTTTTCAGTTACGATTAGCTTGTCGTTACATTGTCGTCATGCTTGTTTGTTGTACAAACAAATACTTTTGTTATAAGTTAGCTACGTTCAGTTGRTTTTAAAATACCAGTTAAACTCATCACTGGTAGATGAGCTTGGCGTTAGGTGCTTGTTCGGTGGGATGAGAGGGGCCTGGCGTATAAATTGCGGTAACCATGGCAACCCTGTCACAACTTATCGTGCACCTGTCACACTGACGGTCTGGTCAGTGGAATACTTACCTATAAATACCTACCATAGGGAGGGAGGGAGGGAAAAAAGCAAATAGCGTTTAGCGTGTGGTTGCCAGAGGCTAGCGATAGCGAATATCGTAATGCAAACGATTCTTGGCGAATCTAAGGTCAAGCTAGCGTGATCACATGGATAGCGTGCGATCGAGTTGACCCATTAGCAATAAGTAGCGTTAATCGATATCGCGGTAATTACCGATCAAATAGCTCGGCGCTGCTGATGACCAAAGATAATGCTAGCGTAATCACCAGTATAGCGTGTGATTGTAATAGCGTGTGTTTAGCGTATATAGGCGGCTAGCATGTAGTCAACAAACAGCGGTTATCGTAGACTATTCACTGCTACACAGATCAAGTCTAACTTTGCCTAAATTTCATTTAACCACATTTTAAAATAGCCGCCATGTATGTGTCCTTTGACATGCATGGGYTACAAATCAACTATGCTAACAGAAATTTCAAGCCCGGAGTGGAAGCAGTGAGTTATTCAAACAATCCATACATGTACACATCAGTGCATGAAGTTCCTCCATTGTTGGTTTCTCTGAAGTTCTTAAGGTCTTGYCCATACCAGATGCGATACTCTTGACCAGCGGTAACAATCATGGGCATGGTGAAGTTCTTAAAAATAAGCTCGGCAGACTTTGAAGTAAAACCAGAAATTTTGTAACTGAAATCGATAGTCACGAGCTCGTCTTGAGGGAGAATCTTTTGGTCTTTGTTGTCCGTTATGATAGTCATCATCCTGTCTTGGAATAAACTGTATGGTGCACATCCCCAGTTACTTYGACCGGAATGTTGATKGATATCACATACGACATATCCAGAYTGATGGATTAGCTTAACTGTGGTAACTGCTCCATTATATGGAATTTTGAAAATCCCATATTCCGAGTTTTTAGCTCCGAAGCAGACAGGGCTGGAGTTGATCTTCAACCATTTGTCTGTATTCAACAGGAATTATTAAGATTAAA